AACTCTAGCACTTTTAGAATGTTTCAATGCCACTCTCTTAAAATCTAACTACATTATATTACAATTTATATATAAATGAATAAATGCAAAAGTGCACAAACCTTCCATACATTAGACTTAATAAATAAGAGAATATTCAAAAGCTTGATCTCCCTCTTCAAGTTTCTTTCCCTAATAAACAACAATTCTAAAATACGAACACCAACATGCTGTCCAAGTTCTGAGAGCCTGAAAGATTATTATAATTATAATTATTAATATCACATTAATATTATAATTATATTGTAGTTGTTTTGCCATTATTAATTCCATTAGTAATACTAACAGATTCATTATCATTATTATTTAATAACTGTCAATATTAGAAATAAAATTTGAGTATCATAAACTCAAGTGTTAAATAAACGTTCAACCCACCCTCTTCTTAAGTTAAGTATATTCTGTTGTGCTAGAGTAAGTTAAGTAATATCAGGTAAACCTGGTAGTGGCACATTATGCACTTACTTGTTTTGTAATTCAGGGACAGATCCTACACGATTTTGACAGTACTGGATCATCTCGGAAAATAGCAGAGCAAATGAATTTATGTTGATCTTTAAAAAAATAACAATAAATAATATGCACACACAATTAACGTATTATTACTAACTAACATAGGATTATATACCATACGATATAAATTTTCTCCATCGAATAGAGTGTATATATTACAACAAAATAATCAAAGAGATCACTCGGACCAAATGTCTAGGCCCTAGGCCTACAAATCGACGATGCGTCCATCATGCGAGCAAATAACTTGAGTGAGTGCGTGTGAAGATAGTTTACAGTCACTAGCTAAGCCTAGGTTAGACTAAAATTTAGAAGTGTTTGCATATTGTGGATGTTCAATAAAAAGAGTTCTGATGAATGACTTGTTTCTTACCTCTGCCTTTCCCTTACTTAAAGGTCGCTCAACGGCACTAGGCTTATGTTTTCTATCAGCCATATTCTAGGTACTTTTTTTCGCGTATGGGCAAACCCTTTGACGGTTGTTTTTATGTCAAAGGTTAATATAGGACTGTTCCATTCGTTTGTGTAGAGCACACGTTCTTTGCTAAGTATCCAATAAACTAACGTTTACCTAACTTACTTTTAAATGTGTCTTTAACCTTGTCCTGAATTATCAAAATTGATTATTGCTTTATAAATCATAACAAAAGCAATTAAATTATTTTATTCACTACATTGACCTAGCCAAGTTGTAATGGACTATACTATTCTATGCTGTAAAAGACA